CTCAGAATCGTTCAGCATCTCACGATGGCCTCCAGACGGCCTCCGAAGCTGCCAAAACGCAAAAAAAAATCACGATGCGTCCCCAGAGGGTCCCACGAAACAAAATCGCCCCATTCCCCTTGTCATCAACAACTAAAAAAACGATTCACACGCTCGCCTCCTCGGCTTTCACAACGTCCACGCCGTGCACAGAAACCTTCAATATCGCCCCCCGACGGTCGAGGCCCCCCAAAAAGGGCCAGAGAGGGTCCGGAAACGGCCCACGAAACCCCCAAGGCAGCCCAAGAGGGCCCCCTGACGGCTGCAAAGGGGAATCCAGAGGGCACCTCTTCGAGCCTTCGGCCCCGAAGCGCCCCCAGCTTGCCCCACGAACGCCCCGGGAGGCCTTCAAAAACCCCCAAGAGAACCTCGCAGGCCTCCAAGAAAACCCCCGAAGCCCCCCAGGGGCCCGAAAACGACCTGCAAAACGACCCCGTCAGGCCCCCCACGAGATCCCATCAACCATCCGCGTGGCCGCGCACCCGCAACCCAAGCACGTGGCGGGATACACCGCCTGCCATTCGAGGACCTGCCGTCCGGATTTTGGACCGGCACCCGCCGTCTGTGAGCGCGGGTGTTCGCATGTATGTGCCCAACCCTGCACGGCGAACGCTTTAAAAGTCAGCCGCGGACGATACACGGACCCTCCAGCATCTGACATTGCCCCCGCTCCAAGAACGCTCCGATGAGACCCCATACAGCACCCCTGAAATTCTGACCCGTTACCAAACCAGCTTGGACCGACGGCCATGACAATCTGCACGGTCCAGACACCTGCACAGGGTCTCGAGATCCAGGGTGACACACATGCTGATCGAAGTGCCGGACTCCCGAAAAAAGGCCACCAGAGACCAGAGTACAAGCCCCCAAACCAAATCGTCATTCCTCCTTCTCCTCCTCTTCAATTGACCCTCCTCCGCCTCTCCCACATCATACCCCGCGTCCTCCTCCTCCTCCTCCGCATTATCCTTCCAGGCGTTCCTCCTTCATCGGTTTCGTCCTCACTCTCGCTCTCACCCCGTTGGTCCTACTTCTACGGATCGTGGCACGGGCACTCGCATGGGTATCAGTCGCACGCCTTGCATTTCAGGGTTCCTTTTTTTCGTCACGCGCGACGCGGCTACTGTCCACGGAGAAGGCCGACTTCGGCATTTGTTTTGGCACTTGCCGCTGCACTGATAGCCCTGCCAGCAGCGCGCCGTAACCCCGTCGGCATTGCAACCTGCGCGTGCAATTTCACTCTTCCTGTTCATCGCTGACGTGCTGCTGCCAAGCGAATTCCTTCGCGCACGCCGCACACGTCAACAGCCGCTTCGAACCGTTTCGGCTCATTGGCTACGCCTTTCGCAGTGACGCCCCGCTTGTCACACCTTCCGCACACCACTCTGGTTCTTTTCTGTTTCCGATTATGTTCCAATTGCCCCTTCCTCAATTCTTTCGCGTCCGATGAAGGTTCCTCGCACGCCGCGCACGTCAGCGGCTTCGCTTCTGCCTCGGCGGTCCGTGTCAAATCTGCTGTTTCGCAGTTTGCTTGCAGCACCGCGTTTTCCCGCTCCACGGCGCACCTCCGGCAGAGCCTCTCCCATGCTGCATTGCGCTTCTTCTGCGCATCCGACATCGCAGCCGACTCCTCGAAAAACGACAAACACGCGTCGTTCGAACACCGACGATTTTGTACCGCGACGAACCTTGGAGGCGCAGCAGTTTGTATACGGGTCGGCGGGTGAGGCGTAAGCCGGTAGATTCTATCAGAATCTTTCAGAATCTCAGAATCTCACAGAATCCTTCTGAATTTCTCACAACCGCACAGAATCTCTCAGAATCCGTTAGAATCTCTTGAAAGGTTCTCAGAGGATTCCCCTGGACCGAATGGGATCTCACCCGTCCCAGCTGTGCTCGGCGGTTGTGATCTGACCCGGTCCCGTTGGGATCTCACCCGGCCGGTTGTGATCTGACAGTTCCCCCCAGGGGGGGGGAGGGGGGGGGGAAATTCGGGGCCCCCTCTTCTTTGATTGATCTCCTCCAACATGGCCCCCAAAGCGCTCCCAACGCTCCCAAGAGCTCCCCAAGAGGGCCCCCAAAGGAGGCCCTGGAAACCTCCAAGAAGCCCCCAAGGGACCCCCAAGAGGCCTCGGGAGGATACCCGAGGCACCAAAGACGCCCAAAGATGGCTCAGGGCTCGCCAAGATGCCCCTTTTCCTCATCCTCTTCGTCCTCCTCCTCCTCCTCCTCCTCCTCCTCCTCTTCGTCCTCCTCCTCCTTGTCCATTGTATCTTCCTCCTTCCTCCTATTCGCCCTCCTCCTCCTCCTCCTCCTCCTCCTCCTCCTCCTCCTCCCCCTTCCTTCCACCATCCTCCACCACTTGGGGTATCGGACGGCTCCCCCCGCCCGTTGTTCTTCTGCATGCCCCCCCACATCCCTGATCACCTCCACTCCCCTGGGCATCGTTTCTGGATGGGCTGCTGGAAATGCTTTTTTGATCGCGACCGCGGCGAAGAAAGGTCAGGCGTCGCCCAGTGACTTGCAAACTCGCAACCGCGTAAATTAGCGCAGCGGAAGAGGAAGGCGAAAAGCAAATAACAGCAACGAGCCGGAGAGTCAAACAGGAGGCGAGCCTCACTGCCGCTCAGAGGAGCGCAAGCTGCTCAAGGAGCAGCGCGGCCAAGATGCGAGCATCCTGGGAGACCTGCTTCTTGGCGCCCGCGGCGGTCATGGCCCCGAACGAGGAGGCGAGAACGCGCGAGGTGGGGAGGCGCGGGGCCGTCCTGAGAAAGGCCTGAGCCGCGAAAAGGCCCCGGCAGCATCAGAGGGGGCGCGAGGATGATGAGGTAAGAAGATGGAGGGCGGAGGAACGATAAAATCTACGAAGGGGCGAAAATAAACTGCGAGGGAACAAAGGAGGACGTGAAGGGAGGAAGGATGAGCTTTCTTGGAACCGCGAAGTACGCGACCCCTGCGGGGCCCCCTGAAGGACCTAGGACCCCCCTGAGGAGCCCCCTGATGGCCCCTTTCAGAAAAAGGGCCGCGACCCCCCTGAGGGGCCTACGACCGACCGAGGGGCCCCCTGGGGGCTGACTTCCCCCCCCCTCGGTGTGACTGGGAGTGGGGCTGGTTGTTCTGGTTGTGAAAGCACCAGGAGGAACTTCTGGGCGACGTGCAACACCAGGAGGTAATTCAGGAAACCCACGTCCAAGATGAAGAAGACCACCGGCAAGACGAACAGCACGCCGTGAACAAGGCTAGGAAGCAGCGCAGGGCGGCGAACCCCGACACGGAGAAGGGCAGGACATGCGGGCGCTCGGAAAATCCGAATCGCCAGACACCAAGTGGTGCCGAGGGGCAGCGGTGGAGGCAAGTCCCGACCGATCCGCGAGGGGGGGGAACGGCCAGAAGGCCGGCAGACGCCCAAGGGGACGAGAAGCACGACCCACGGAGAGGAGTAGCGAGGGGGAGGACCGGGTGTCCGTCGACCCCAAGCGGGAAGAGGGGAAGGCGGCAGGCGGAATGCGAGGCGTAGGCCAAAGAGATCCCCGAGGAGGGGGGCCAGCTGGCGGACCGCCGGGACGGCCAGGAGAGCCCCAACGGAGGAGGAGGCCCGCAGACCAGCGCCCTGGGCCGGGGGGGGGTCCCTGCAGCCTCACGCGCAACGTCTGGGGTGGCGGCAAAAGGAGGAAGGCGAGAGACAGCCGCAGGCCAGATAGAGAGACAGCGAGGCGCGGAGTACCTGGCAGCGAGGAGCGTTGGAGTCCCACCGGGAGGAATCCCCCTGGGGGGAAGCACGGACCCGAGCGCGACGGGCCGAGGGGGTTTCCCTGCGGCCTCGCACGCTGAGGCAGTGCCGCCGCGACGCCGGCCGCGGCGCCGCCAGCGGCCGCCGCCGCCGGATGGGAGCCGGCGGCGGCGGCGGCAGCGGCGGCGACGGCGACGGCAGCGGCAGCAACGTCGGCCGCGGCGAGGCGCGGCGCGACGGCAACGTTGGTGGGGATACTTCTTTGTCGCAACCGCAGGCGAGAGCGCCAGCGGCGAGTCAGGTCCGCGCGGGCCGCGCAAGAGCCGAATTACCTAACACCGACGTGCCGACGACCTCAGGCAGCGCCTCGGCGGGCGGGCCGGCGCGAGGGGGGGTGCAGGCTGCAGCTGCCAGGGAACTGGTCCAGGGGAGCGCGCAGGCGAATTAGCCAACCACAGTTGGGGATACTGTTTTTTAGTCAGCGGCCGCAGGCGAAGGCGCCGACGGCGTGTCCAGTCAGAGCGGGGCGCGCAAAGACGAATTAACCTAAAGCCAATGGGCCGAAGCCTCACGCGGCACTTCGGCGGCCAGGCCGGCGAGTGGCGGCATGCTGCTGCAGGCGGCTGCCAGGGTAGCTGCACTCCCAGGGGTGCACGCATGCATCGAGCTGCAAGGGACAGTTGGGGATTCGCGAAGCGTCAACAATTTCTGCAGGGCCCGGAATTATCCCAAGAGACGTCAAAACTGCCTCCCAGAGGCCACGGAGAACACTCCGAAGAGACCCCCAAAAAGCATCCCTGCGGACTCCGTCCCACACCTTAGGCACGGTGGCGGGATGGGCCGACGTCCATGTTAACATCATTAGCCCGAGAAACTAGCACTATCAGTTTAACAGAAGCGATGGCATCATAGCGAGTAGCAGCAACCATGTGAGTGTATGCACATATGCGTACGTGTATACATATCTACTCCCACATGCCGCATCCCTGGGAAAACGCCATGGGCTGGCTGATCTCGCTGAATTACCCAATAGGTGAAACGAACAAGCAATCACCTGTCCTCAACTGCACTCCAATTCCGCCAGCATTGTGTAGAAACTTCGAAAAAAAACGGAACACAGCTCATGTGCATGCAAAGCGCTTCATGTTTCGAATATATGTACATCAACTGCCATTTGCGGCCTCTGCCTGTTTAATTCCTCGCGCTATGCGCAGGATGCAGCGCAGCGGTCCTCCCGCTCGAGATTCTCGATCGTGGTGAAGTTCTCCTTGACGAGTCGGACGTGGAAGCTGATGAAATTTGTCAACGTCCTCTGACCCAGTGTATGCGCCCCCGCGCACTGCTTACACCACTTTCACACTGGAATGTGCGGGCAGTACACATGTCCATATCCAGAGCGTCTTGGACTTTTTAGGAAGAGGTGCCGCAACGCCGAGGCGCACTGGCTATGGATCTGATCAAGCCTCTTGGGGCCAAATTGTTATCCATATCCAGTGCGTCTACGGCTTCTGGGGAAGCGAGCCCAAGACCCCAAGACGCACTGGATGTGGATAGAACTACCCATCGGTCGGAAGAAGTAGGTAGAAACATGAAGCAGGAAGGCTTTGGAAATAGATTGGGTTTCCGCCCCGCCTCCTGAAGAGGAGGGAAGAGGGAAAACCACTCGACTCTTGAAGCAGGAAGGCGCTGAGAGTAGACTGGAATCTGGGAATCCAAAAATACCTGCTTTCAACGACCGATGGCTATTGCCCCCAGAAGACAAGCCCTGCCCTCCAGCACTGGCGCTGCTACCGCCGTGTGGAGCCGCCAGGCTGGGAGGCCATCGGCCCTCCCCGATCGCCCGGCTCGTGGGGCTCCCCGAGGTCCTGCGACGGCCACGCGCAGGCACGCCGGCAGGGAGAAGGAAAGCAGGGGCGGGAAGCACGGGGGAGAAGAGACCACGAGGCACAGAGGGGAGAGGCAGGAGACTCAAGAGGGAGGGCGAGGGAGGAGTGTGGAGCGGGGAGGGGACGAGGACGAAGGGAGGCGGAGGGAGGATAGGGCGGGAGCAAGGGAGGATCGAGGGAGGATAAGGAAGGAGGACAGGGGAGGAGGATCGAGAGGGAGGAGAAAGGGAGGAGAAGGGAGGAGGGGACGTGGGCAGAGCAACGAAAGTTATCCGGGCGACGGACCCAACCATATGCAGTTGTGGGTACCGCAATTGTGAATATTTTCTTCGGTGGAGCTCCCTATGGGGCCACGAAGCGCTGCACTGGGTGTGGGGGAACGCATGCGGGCGGTAGAACTGGGGCCGTCGGGCGAACTCCCTATGGGGCCACGAAACGCCGTACTGGGTGGGGTGAAATGCCAAATTTGGTGTGTGGGACGCATGCGGGCGGTCCCACTGGTGGCTTCGGTGGAGCTCCCTATGGGGCCACGAAACGTATGAGGGGTGTGCCACATTGGGTTTCCGAGACGCATGCGGACGGTCCCTCTGGGGGCTTCGGTGGAGCTCCCTATGGGGCCACGAAGCGCTGCACTGGGTGGTGGGGGACGCATGCGGGCGGTAGAACTGGGGCCGTCGGGCGAACTCCCTATGGGGCCACGAAACGCGGTACTGGGTGCGGAGAAAATGCAAAACCTGGTGTGTGGGACGCATGCGGGCGGTCCCAGTGGTGGCTTCAGTGGAGCTCCCTATGGGGCCACGAAACGTACAAGGGGTGTGCCAAATTTGGTTTCCGGGACGCATGCGGACGGTCCCACTGGGGGCTTCGGCGGAGCTCCCTATGGGGCCACGATGCGTTGCACTGGGTGGGTGAAAATGCCAAACTGGGTTTCAGGGACGCATGCGGACGGTCCCACTGGGGGCTTCGGCGGAGCTCCCTATGGGGCCACGAAACGTACAAGGGGTGTGCCAAATTTGGTTTCAGGGACGCATGCGGACGGTCCCACTGGGGGCTTCGGCGGAGCTCCCTATGGGGCCACGATGCGTTGCACTGGGTGGGTGAAAATGCCAAATTGGGTTTCAGGGACGCATGCGGACAGTCCCACTGGGGGCTTCGGTTGAGCTCTCTACGGGGTCACGAAACGCCGTAGTGGGTGGTGCAAAAATGAAGAAATTGTGATTCAGGGACGCATGCGGACAGTCCCACTGGGGGCTTCGGTGGGGCTCTCTACGGGGCAACGAAACGCCGTACTGGGTGGGGTGAAAATGCCAAATTAAATTTCTGGGACGCATGCCGACAGTCCCAGGGGCTTCAATGGGGCTCTCTATGGGGCCACGAAGCGCTGTACAAGAGGGGGGGGGACGCATGCAGACGGTAGCACTGGGACCTTCGGTGGGGCTCCCTATGGGGCCACGAAGCGCTGTACTGGGTGTGGGGGACGCATGCGAACGGTAGCACTGGGCTTCGGCGGAGCTCCCTGCGGGGCCACGGAACGCTGTACTGGGAAGGGGGGACGCATGCGGACGGTAGCACTGGGACCTTCGGTGGGGCTCCCTATGGGGCCACGAAGCGCTGTACTGGGTGGGGGGGACGCATGCGGACTGTAGCACTGGGACCTTCGGTAGGGCTCCCTATGAGGCCACGAAGCGCTGTACTGGGTGGCGGGGACGCATGCGGACGGTAGCACTGGGACCTTCGGTGGGGCTCCCTATGGGCCACGAAACGCTGTACTGGGAGGGGGGGACGCATGCGGACGGTAGCACTGAGGGCTTCGGTGGGGCTCCCTATGGGGCCACGAAGCGCTGTACTGGGTGGGGGGGACGCATGCGGACGGTAGCACTGGGACCTTCGGGGGGGCTCCCTATGGGGCCACGAAACGCTGTACTGGGAAGGGGGGACGCATGCGGACGGTAGCACTGGGACCTTCGGTGGGGCTCCCTATGGGGCCACGAAGCGCTGTACTGGGTGGGGGGGACGCATGCGGACGGTAGCACTGGGACCTTCGGGGGGCATGGGGCCACGAAACGTGTGAGAGGTATGCTGAAACGGGTGATGATGATGATGATGATGATGATGATGATGATGATGATGATGATGATGATGATGATGATGATGATGATGATGATGATGATGATGATGACGATGGTGATGGAGGAGGGAGAAGGGGGAGGAGGAGAGGAGAGGAGAGGAGGAGGAGAACGCGGGGGGACGTCTGTTCAAAACGAGGACCCAACACCACAGGCTGGTTGGAAAAAAAACCGTGCTGCAAGCCCATGCTCCACAGGCAGCTGCCTCGGCCGCCCGCTCCCCTCCCGATGAGCACCACCGCCAGGAACCACGCCAGCGAGATCAGGGCCGTCTGGAAGATGTACATGGCCGAGTCCTCGTCCTTCTCGACCTGGCAGAGACAGGAGGAGGATCCAAATGCTTGTTCGGGAGGTTTTTGTAAATTTTCGGCCTCCGGGGGCCCTCACCGGGCCTCGGGAGCGTCACACAACTACTCAGGATGCAAAGCCGGTCATGGGGACAGGGTCGGGACCTCTGGGGGTCGACGTAATGAAGAAGTCATTACATCGGGGGAACAAAGTGCGGAGAAGGATCCGCCAATGGCGTGAGCATGGGGAGACGGAGGAGGAGGGGAGAGGAGGGAGGAGAGTGTGGAGGTGAAAGGTGCAGTTGGAGGAGCCAGCCCGCTCGATTAGGTTGCCTCCCGCGGCCGTTGGGAACGCAGCCGTAGCATCTAGAGGGCCCCGCCTTTCTGCTCCGCGCCCTCTGCTTCCTCATCTCCCTGGCCTCCTGTCTCCTGCGCCGCCTCCGCCTTCTCCTTCCGCCTCCTTTTCCTCCTCCCTCGTTCGGTTCCTCCTCCCGTCTCCGGCCTCTCATCCCATGAACACCCTGTGCCGCGTTGCCTTCATCTGTTTTCTGAGATTGATCTTCACCGCCTCGTGTTCCTCTCGCCCTCCTCCTCCTGTTCACCCTCCCCTACCATCAAAGGATGCATCGTGTTCTCATCATCATCACCACTAGCATCATCAGCGTCATCGTCGTCATCATCATCACCATCATCGCCATCATCGCCATCACCATCACGATCACCATCACCATCAGCATCATCGTCATCATTGTCGTCATAATCGTCATCATCATCACCATCACCATCACCATCACTATCATCATCATCCTCAGCAGCATCATCATCATCATCAGCATCAGCATCAGCATCAGCATCAGCATCAGCATCATCATCATCATCATCATCATCATCATCATCATCATCATCATCATCATCATTGCCATCATCATTGCCATCAGTATAGTCGTCATCATCTTCACCATCACCATCACCATCGCCATGCTTCTCTCCATCTAGAGAATCTAGGGTACCCCCTTTCTACCCATCCTCATCCTTCAGCATAGGTTGCCTCCACCTCATCCGATCGCATCTACCTCGTCGTGCTCCGCCTCCTTCTCCTTCTCCTCCTCCTCCTCCTCCTCCTCGTCCTCCCCCTCCTGCTGCGCCGCCCTTTTGTCAGTGCGTTCCGCTTGCTCCCCTCCCCCCCCTCCCAATGCCCTGTGATTATGCTTTGATTCCCCCTCCTATCTTTCTTGCTGCTCCACGACGCCAGTACACTCGGGAAGAGTAGCCTGGAGCTGGGGCAAGGCCACTGACCAGCTCGAGACGCTCCTCCAGGCTTGACGCATGATGCTTCAAGTATCCTCACAACCTTCTCTCTCTCTCTCTCCGTCTCTCGATCTCTCTCTCGATCTCTCTCTCTCTCTATATCTCTCCTATCTTGGCAATCAAGCAGCAGACAAGGAGGAGGGAGGAAGGATAGGGAGGCAGGGAGAGGAGGAGGGGCCATGGAATGCGGCACGGCCGTGAGGTCGTGCCAGCATCACGTTGGGCATGCTGCGGGCACCACTTGCGGGAAGGACATATCGAACCATAGCACCACACACCTCGAAAGCACAGGCCCGACGACGAGCTGGACGCCTGCATGCGTGTGCCCCGCGGGCCGCGCCTGTATACTGACAGCACCTCTTCGGAAAGCAAAGGAGAAGCACACATCGAGAATACCGTCAAAATCCACGGCGATGATGCAGGCTAGGGAAGCAAGACCCTTGGAAGTCCCGCTTGCCCTTTCAGAGCTCTTTGGACGTCAACGTTGTGTCAGGATGGGCCGCGGCGGCAGGGATGCAAGGGAACCCTCGATGCAGCAGCGCACCCTTGCTCTGGATTGTAACTTTGCTCGGTTCGCCCGGGCGAGTCGAGACGAGAAGAGCTTCGGAGAAGCGGTCGACGGGGTGCACGAGGGGGAACGGTCACGAGCGGCGACGCGGCCGTGTCCGCGCCCTCGCGGTATGGGTCCGGGAGCGAGATCTCACGGATACGCAGTCGTACGGGTACGTTCCGCGCGATATATCCGCGAAAAAACGCCCCTTTCGTGGTGCTCGCAAGGCCCAGATCGAGGCGGCGAAGCCTGTTGCTTCCGCAGCACACCAGTGAGGCCTTCCGCTTGCAGACGGCGGAGCGCAAGCAGACCAAGGCTGCAGAGGCCGTGGCTGCTGAGCAGAAGCTCATCGCCGAAGCCCAACGATCTCTTCTTGAGCTTCGAGAGAGGGAAGCTGCAGTCAAGCGGCAAGCGGCGACACTCCAAGAGGAGCTGCGCCGCACCATGCCGACTGGCGGAACAGGCGTACCTCCACCAACCGTTAATGTCAAGTTCGAGCTGCCCCGAAAGGTCCTGGAGGCCGGAGGCCGAAGCGAATGCTGATGTTAAAGAACTACGTCCAACCCAACCTTCGCGAAGTTCCTGCAACTTTATTAAGGTCTCGGCGCCAAAGGTACACATTCCCACGACGTCTGGTTCTGCAAATTCTGCTTCAGGGGTAGCTGGACAAAATGGTGCCGGTGATGGTGGTGCTCCCATGCCACAAGCACCTCAATACGATGGATTGTTTGCCGATGTCATCAAGACCCTGCCTAAGCACACCGGTGACAACCGCGCGTTTGAGCAGCAGCTGGAGTCCACGGGCATCAAGCCTGCTCGCATTTAGAGCTCCTAGCCTTCCATTTTTCAACTTGCACCCCGTTCCGTCTACAGGTCGTGTCGTTCCGCAGCACAACAGCTTGAACTCCTTCAACGGGAACTGACGATCTACCCTGCTCGAAAGCTTACGAGGTAGTGATTCCTTGATCGTATGTTCGCAAGAGGTTGGGACTGGACCTGATGCAGTACCTGACCTTCAGCGTGCAGCTGGTACTTTAGGATATCGAACGTTGTGTAGCCCGTCCGGTTGCTGCGCTCATGAATCTCATTCTGCGGGTGTTGCGATCTTCGCGCGGCAGCATCTTGGGCTCAGATGGAATCCCACTGGCGGTAAACAGGTCAAAGGACGATTCATATCAGCAGTGGTTGATATTCCTGGGTGGCCAGAGCTGGTGTATTCTGCCGATTTCCATGATCATGTTGGTCTGGACGATGCCAATATCAATGTTCTCTCCGTGCTTGGTGGTTCAATCTCGCTATCAGGAGGATCCTGTCTTGCAGCAGCCGATCGGAACGTTGAGCCGAGCATGATTGAGCAGCGCGGGTTCACGCGCATGGCTGGTCTCGTCACTCTTGCTCCTGTTCGACGTACGTGTATAATGCCCGCATCTGCGAAGGAGGAGGCAGGACACGATTGATGTTTTCCTGGCTTCTCATGCTCTCGTTCGCATTGTGGCTATAAGACCCGTGCCTCCTCTCCGTGGCATGGTGGACCTCACAAGCCAATGCGATTACACCTACGACCCGGTGCAGTCTCTCTGCGTCAACTGGTGTCTTGCGCTCATGCTCGCTCTCCTACCCTCCCTCCCCTTGGCCCTCGACCCGAGCCACCAGGCTTTGTCGCGGCGCGACAGATGGCTGAGGAGGCGGCCTTCTCAGCACAGCATGATACTGCTTCCAAGGCATGGGCACGTCTCAATCAGGCTTGGACAATATCTCTGGAGGACGCTGAGCTCGAGATTGCAAGTTTGCCCGACCTGCCGATCAAGAACCTCACTCGCCGCAACTATCTTGCTCGACGATGGGTACCTGTCTCGGGGAGGAAAGAGCACGCTCATAATCCGATGCTGGTCTGTCGTGGATGGCAATGGCTTGACCGTGTATGGCATGAGTTTGAGCTGATGGTGAAGCAGAAGACTTACCTCCATCACGGTCCAGTGGCACTCTCACTCAAGCGGACAGGTTTGGTTGAGAACTACCATGGTGAAGGACTTGATGTACGACTGGACTCTCAGGTCGTTGCCCTTTGCATGCTGATTCGTGATTATCCTGAGCAGTACCCTCATTCGTGGTGGAGTCTGGCTACGCAGTTTGGAGAGCAGTTGGATACTGACTTTGAGGCGGACGCTAAGAAATCCGCCGGCCCCCTTGTGGGGCCACCAGGCTGTAGGCGCGTGATTCGCAGTTTCCTGTACCAGTTGTAGCTTGTAGTTTCCAGTGTTATAGTTCTGCTTATTGCTGGTTACTGTAACTAGTTGATTGACCGCACGAGGGGGGGGAGGCCCAAACAGGATTTTTTAGCACCCCCTGGGCGCGTTGTCTGAATTGCTGGGGGTGCTCGAAATCAACACCCCTCACGCAGATCCGCGGGGTCAGGGTCCAAAAACACAGGGGATTTGCCACATTTCTGAAATTCGGTGCCACCCCTCACGCAGATCTGCGGGGTCAGGGTCCAAAAACACACGGGATTTGCCACATTTCTGAAATTCGGTGCCACCCCTCACGCAGATCCGCGGGGTCAGGGTCCAAAAACACAAGGGATTTGCCACATTTCTGAAATTCGGTGCCACCCCTCACGCAGATCCGCGGGGTCAGGGTCCAAAAACACAGGGATTTGCCACATTTCTGAAATTCGGTGCCACCCCTCACGCAGATCCGCGGGGTCAGGGTCCAAAAACACAGGGGATTTGCCACATTTCTGAAATTCGGTGCCACCCCTCACGCAGATCCGCGGGGTCAGGGTCCAAAAACACATGGGATTTGCCACATTTCTGAAATTCGGTGCCACCCCTCACGCAGATCCGCGGGGTCAGGGTCCAAAAACACATGGGATTTGCCACATTTCTGAAATTCGGTGCCACCCCTCACGCAGATCCGCGGGGTCAGGGTCCAAAAACACATGGGATTTGCCACATTTCTGAAATTCGGTGCCACCCCTCACGCAGATCCGCGGGGTCAGGGTCCAAAAACATACGGGATTTGCCACATTTCTGAAATTCGGTGCCACCCCTCACGCAGATCCGCGGGGTCAGGGTCCAAAAACACAGGGGATTTGCCACATTTCTGAAATTCGGTGCCACCCCTTACGCAGATCCGCGGGGTCAGGGTCCAAAAACACAGGGGATTT